TATTATTATCCCTTGTCATATTTAACCTTTTGTATCGTGTAAGCCGGGTTTCCTTACTATGGTCCTGGTCCTATAGGAGAATTGTCATTTTTGATAACGCTTTCCTTAGTATGTTGGATGTTCCCTGGGATCACTGTTGATGTTAAATTGTCATTCCTTTTCTCACGAGGCCCAGAGCTCCGAAAGAGTCTTAATCTCCCACATAATCTGTCTTTTATGATAATACCAGGTCTGTTGGTTTTTATTTCCCTGTTTGAAATGGCATATCCAGAGGATAGTTACATCGTTATTTTGGGTAATTGTGTCTGATTGGAGCTCATACCATCTCTCAGTGGTTTCGATTTTGTGCTTCTTGCATATCTTCCAGTGCACATATATCGTTACCTTATTATTATTATTATTATTATTATTATTATTATTATTATTGCCATATTTCAGTATTTGGGTAATCCTCATTTTTCAGTTTCCATAGAGTCCAAAAGTCTCCGCGCCCCTGTGGATAATAAATTATTACTCACCCTAGAATCCCTCTCCCATTGCCGAAATTTCGTAAGCCTCTCGCTGCTCTCTCGCTATTTCCACGGAAGTGCTCAAATGAACTAAACTCTACCAGTTCTAAATATCATAGCTAAGACCCGCCATGCTACGCGCACTGTGGTGAACCACCCTCGATCCTTTCTTATTCGCGCGGTCCACTACTCAGTGTGACCGACACCCAAGAGGATGTTTTCCCGTTCCTTACAATCTTAACCAGTTCAAGTCGGTTCCACAGAGCAGTGGCTCACGGGAAGAAGCTGCTTGAGGGGGACTTCTTACCATTGCAATACATTATATCTTCCTCACATATCAGCATAAACGGTGCCTATTATTCTGTAACCCTCTACCTCAAGTGGCTCTCTGTCTTTCTACAGGGCAAACCACTCTGAAAAAATTATTGTTTTGGCAACATATAATTTCAATATTACTACCTTTTTTATTTAGTCTGATGACGACAATCTATATACGGCAGCAAGGCCCCTGATCGAGAGATTGGAGGATTTCAGGAGCGTGAAACCACCTATTAATTGGGTAGTAGCACCTGTTAGGGTCACAACTATGGGCAAATAGTTAACTCCCCAGACTAGAATCAAAACAGATTCAAATATAAACAACCACTTTTTATCTATCCCCAAACAAATTAAAATCTTATACACCCAAAAAACCACCAATATTTGCCTATCATTGAACCAAATAAATGATTATAGACTCAAATAAGAACAACCAATATTTACCTATCTGCTGAAATTAGTAAACGGTTATAAACTTCAATATAAGCGACCAATATTTACCTATGAACTCAGTAAATGAGTATTGTCTCAATTATAAACGATCAAATTTTAACTCACCTGTACAATGTAAATGCTTATAGGCTCGTACATAATTCAAAAGAAAAGTTGATTCTGACATAAAATAACGCAACAAGTTTCTATATATCGTATATTCAAATTCCAACATGGTTCTGTTAGTGTTGCTTTTTTTATTATTACAATCTGGGTCAATAATCTATTTGACCGAAAGAGCAACAACTTGAAACTGGAAAGAATTTGTTCCTGACGAGTCTTTACATCTCGTTCTATCTTGTCGAAGCTGGTTCTTACGGCTTGAAGCTGTTAACTCGATCGACCGAAGAACTTAACGACCTAGAGTGAGATGTTAATCACAATAAGAACATGTGACTAATGGTAAAACCAAGCATATTGTCCAGTGGCTTGGTGACAAATTCGTCTCGACGCTTTTGCTGTTGTCTTGTTCCGGACTAGGTTTGGTTTGGTTTGTGTTTTACCGCATGTCAACCTCAATGGGTTATTTAAGTTTTTATTTTATTTAATATTTTGTTTTGTCAAAAATCTATTTCTGGTAATATTTCTTCTTAAAAGTATTGTTGGTAATATTTTTTTCTTCAAACATTTATTGCTGATAATAATTTTTTTTTACAAAGTATTCCTGGTATTAAAACCCATTTTTACCCCAGTTTTCGGGTTAACTATTTACCCATAGCTGGCACCCTAACAGGTGCTACCACCCCGGGTCAGGATGCTAGCACTTGTTACTGAGAACACCAGCAATTAAGAGGTGGTTCAACGCTCTTCAAAACCTCCTGATCAGAGACCTTGCTGCTGGACGTAGTTTATCGTCTTACCCAGGACGCGGATGTAGTTTATCATCATACCCAGGACGGTGTTCCGGACTAGGCTAAACTTAGTAAATATCTATCTAGTTATATCTTTAGGAGGAATGCAAAGTGGTAAAAAATTTATTTTTATGATAATCTCATTTGCTTAGCGCCATTTTTTTCTTTTGTCTTTTTCGTTGTGAATTCTTTATTTATTCATAACGAATCTTATTTTTATCTTATGTGTTATTTTATCTTTCAAGCAAATAAGAATATCAAATTATGTCATAAATAAGATGAGAAGAGTGAAAAACAACAAAAAGAATTCCTTTCCTCAAAGTAAACAGGAATAGGTAGATAGATAGAAAGAGGTGAAGAGAACATAGATAGATAGATCGATAGACAGATGCCTACATACATAAATGCGAACAGATACATATGAACAGATAGATAGATAGATAGATAGATAGATAGATAGATGAGAACAGATAGATAGATAGATAGATAGATAGATAGATAGATAGATAGATAGATATGAACAGACTAAGATAGATAGATAGATGAGAACAGATAGATATGAACAGATAGATAGATATGAACAGACTAAGATAGATAGATAGATAGATATGAACAGATAGATAGATAGATAGATAGATAGATAGATAGATAGATAGATAGATACGTATGAACAGATAGATAGATAGATAGATAGATGAGAACAGATAGATAGACAGATAGATATGAACAGACTAAGATAGATAGATAGATAGATGAGAACAGATAGATATGAACAGATAGATAGATAGATATGAACAGACTAAGATAGATAGATAAATGAGAACAGATAGATAGATAGATAGATGTGAATAGAAGATAGATAGATAGATGTGAACAAATAGATAGATGTGAAGACATAGATAGTTAGATGGATAGATAGGTAGATAGATAGATAGATAGATAGATAGATGTGAACAAATAGATAGATAGATAGATGTGAAGACATAGATGTAAACAGATAGATAGATAGATAGATAGATAGATAGATAGATAGATAGATAGAACACACAGAAGGCAAAAGAGACAGAGGAAACCAGCAAGTAACCCCCCCTAATTAGATTGTGTAAATGCTTAGCAGAACAGGGATTAGTAGAGATAACAAAAAGACAAAACTTACTAAGAGCTACAAAAGACTGGAATTTGTGGAGAGCCATGATTGGCCACGTCTTGGGGGGACACTGAACATAGAAGCTGAGAGTTCCACAATCTAGAAGTGCGACAAGAGAGAAGATCATCCTGAGTTATAGCTTGCCCTGGATAGAAGCTAGTCATGAGGTAGAGTATGAATTCAAAACCACTTGAAAACCACTCCACCATCATTCTCAGGAAGCCATGACAATTCACAGCTCATCATCATCATCTTTCAGTCCCATGATCGGGTGTGGTCATCGGGTGACTGCGCAGCTGTGCCAGTTTTGTCTGCATCTTTGGGTTTAGAAAGCCGCGGGGTTATTAGTTCATACGTAGACTGACTTGAGCTAGTAGATCTGGCGGAGCCCATCCCTCTCTAGGTTAAGCCGCATGCGAAGTCCTCCAACTTGAAATCTGGCCTTGATCACAGACTCATGGACGTTGATACCGTAATAGCGGGGAACCCATGGCCTGACCGTTGACTTCTGTCTAGGCAGCCCTATGCTCAGTTAGGCCGTATCGTCACCGCGCTGTCTACATGCATAGCTTTGGAGTTCAGTCGACACCGTTGTGCTAGATGGGCGTTGGTTCTACAAGTAGGTTCGTCCTAACTTTCCATATGTCTTCTTTTTAATCCTGCTGGGTGTCTAGCCACCCTCCACACTAGAAATGTCCTGTGAGTGTACCAGCCCGACCATACTGCAAATAGACTCGGATTACATTGTATCACTAACACTCGGAGACTAACCTGGCATGATCACAGATAATAAAGAGAAGCAACGAGTAGTAAACGAATTCATTATTACACAAAGATAGAAAGAGGCGTAAGACAGGGATGCATCTTCTCACCGGACTTATTGAACCGTTACAGTGAAGCAATACTGAGAGAATTAGACATTCTACTGAGATTTATTATTGGCGGTCACAATCTTAACAACATAAGATATGCAGATGACACAATGTTGATAACAAACACAGAAAGGAAACTACAAGAACTCCTACAGTAGGTAGTGAAGGAAAGCGAGAAGAAAAGACTAAACTATGTTAGGTGTACAATCTTAAAACATAAGATATGCAGATGACACAGTGTTGAACAAACATGAAAAAAATATAAGAATGACAGTAGTTGATAAGAAGAAAGGACTAAACATATTAATGTTAAAATGTAAATCTAACAACAACTTCTGACACAGTGTTGATAACAGACAAAGAAAGGAAAGAACTTCTACAGTAGGTAAAGAAAGGAAGAAAGGACTAAACTATATTAGGTATGTTAAAATGTACAATCTTAACAACATAAGATATGCAGATGATACAGTGTTGATAGCTGACATAGAAAGGAAACTACAAGAACTCCTATTGAAGGTTTTAAAGGGAAGGGAGAAGAAAGGACTAAACATCAATTATCTTTCTTTTTATGCGCCATGTCCTTTCAGGACGTAGACGATCATGGCTCTCCACCTCCCTCTATCCCTTGCAACTCTCACTCAGCAAGCTCCTTCCCTCTGCTTCCTCCCCCAGACCACGTTCACGCGCTGCTTTCTCTTGTATCTCTTTCCCTTTATTTGACCCGTGAGTATCAGGTTCTCCAGTACCAAAATTTAAATATCTAGGAAGTGTTTTAACCCCTTCCCGTCAGTCACGGACGAAAAGATACGTCCAAAACATAACTTCCAAAAAAAAAACTAGCTACAGATATGTTTATACGTCGATCTTGATTCCTTTTATGCCCTTTTGAGCTTGTTACGGACCCCAATTTTCAACTCATACGTCTGGTAGAAGTGTTAACCCACGTTCTGTTACCTCAAGGGGCCTCAGTTTCTTAGTCTTTCACGGACACCGACATCCGAAGGCGTATTGGGATAGCGAAAGATGCCTTCCAAAAGCTGAGCAAAGCATTAAGAAACAGGAAAATTTCCTTAGATACAACGAAAAGAGTATTAAACTGTTATATAATAACAGTCCTCCTGTATGGCAGTGGATGATGGAAAATTTCGTCACAGATGAAGAGACGTGAAGCAACAGAAATATGGTTCTGCAGAAGGATACTGTGAATACCATGGACTAAAATGTGTGCAACAACGAAGTTATCCAGAAAAAGGAAGCACGTAAAGTACATATACGTAGTTTCAGAAAGAGACACTCAGTAAGCCCTTGCGTCTTAGTGGCTTTCTTGCCTTGCTTTGGGGTGGAATCGATTAAAAGAAAAATGCAGATGATATGGTGTTGATGGCAAATGCAGAAAGGAAACGACATGAACTCCAACAGAAGGTGGTACAAAAAGGCAAGAAAGGAATGATATGAATTGTGAGAAGATAGAATATGTGGCTGTCATTAAAAGGAACACCTTAACATGGGAATTACAAATTGGAGATAACAAAACCCAGCAATACAAAAATTTAAATGTCTAGGATGTGTTTTAACTGATGATGGAAAATGCAACGCAGAAATTCAAAGGCACATTTGGATAGAGGAAGATGCCTTCCAAAAGCTAAGTAAAGTATTAAAAAAAAAGGAAAATTTTGTTAGAATCAAAGAAAAGAGTACTAAGCTGTTATGTAATATCAGTCCTATATTGGCAGTGAGTGCTGGACAATTTCCTCTCAAACGAAGAAGGCAGCAAAAATATGGTTCTACAGGAGGATGCTGAGAATACCATAGACTGAACAAGTGAGCAATGATAAAGATTTAGAGAAAATGGAAACAAAAAGGATACGTATACTTAGCATCGGAAAGATACAGCTGAAATTTCTACTGTACATAATGAGGAAAGAGGGCGTAGTGAATTTGACACTCACGGGGCATATAGAAGGCTAAAGGGACAGAGGGTGACGGTGCATAGCTTATCTAATGTGCTTGTGTAAATGATTGGCAGAACAGATATTAGGAGAGATAGCAAAAAGACAAAATTTACTAAGATCTACAAAGGATAGGAAGTTGTGGAGAGCCATAACCACCCACGCCCTCAAGGGATATAGAGTAAAAAGAACTATTCACTGTAAAATTGAGTCTCTCTTAGCAGTAGCCAAAACACCACTGAAAAATATGGTGGAGTTATTTAATAAGCGTTGTTTAATTTTGGCACAAAGACTCTAAATTTGGAACATCCAATGAAGATTAAAGTCACTTCTACATAGGTCCCTCAATATGGGCGTAGCCTAATATAAAAATAATTTATTTTACGCAATATATATTTTTCAACATAATATCCTTCCTTGTCAATGCACTTGATTCAGTAATGAAAATGGAGCTACCTCAGTACGTCTGTAGCATAATGATGAAAAAACTTTTATTATACACTTTTCTTTTTCACTATAATCTTTCTTATTAATGCACTTAAATCCAATGCATCTCCATAATATAGATCGACCATTATACTGTAGAATTTTCAAATCAAAATTTAGTAAGTATCTGTGTAATACTATTAATTGATTACTTGCTAGTTATTTATTATATGGACACGTGGCCGAGTGGTTAGAAGGTTCGCATTCTGACCATAAGACGCGAGCTCGAATCTCACCATCGTCGATTTGTCAGTAAGTATACTTTCTGATGTTATCGGACTGAAGGGATCGATCTTTGGAAAGTGCTTGAAAACCATGGATTGACCCTTGTGAGGGAAATTGGTGGCCGTCGATAGCTGTGCTAGTACAAAGTCATCGTGGCCTTGTTCAAGTTGTTGGTCACGCTAGATTACACGCTCTTTCCCATAAACTGTAACTGAGGTCTGCTCATCATAGTTACAGTACAAAACACAGGTTGAATAAACACAAATTCGACTGAGCAAGCGTCCGCAATAGGAATTGGCTAGCCACCTTCGTGTATCATGCAACTTTTGAAGCTAATTTGACTACAGCAAATGTTTATAGCACTACATACGCTAATTTTATATCTCGTGTATGATACGACCCCCTTAAAATTAACTTCAAAATTAGGTCTTGAAAAGTCGCATGATACACTAGTATATACTTTACTTATATACTTATTGCGTACTTACCTGGCACTTATGTTCCGGCCCTGTTGCTGGTAGTAGCACTGCTTAGACCAGCTTGGACAAGCTATGACCAGCTAAGACCACGTTAAAACCGACCTTGTGTCACATCCTGACACAGAGGGGCGTTAAGTAAATATTTATACTTATTGCTTACTATTTTATACTATTTTTCATCCAATACGAGGCCTAAGAGCCACTCAATTTAGAACATTATTGAATGAAGCTGCAAGAGAGCGTAAAGAGAGGAAAACAAAGATGCTATTTTGAGAATATGTAGGATAGCTAAAATTTCACCCTAAATCTGAAGATCGTAATGATTGAGGAAGCATCCTATCGGGAGTCTGTTCCAGAAAATAGCAGTTCTGGGGAAGAAGCTGAGTGAAACATTATCAATAAAATATGAACGGATTTAATAGTCTTAGTTTTTTTTTTGGTGGGGGGGTCACCCCAAGCAAGGCGATGATGCCACTAAGACGCAAGGGGGGTACTGGTTGTGAAAGAGAATAAGAAGACTTTAGCGACGACAAACGACAATGAAAGAGCAGGTTTCGGGAAGACAGAAGATGGCGATTGGAGTTTTATTTAACATTTTTGAAGATTGTAGGCGACAGCAAAGCCAGAAATAAAATCAAACTTACTAACTTATGAAATTATTCCGTGAAAAATTTAATTAAGCGTAGTGTATTATTTATTTTAGTTGCAACCTTTACAGATGCTCATTTAATTGGCACCTATTTTAACCCTTTACCGGTCCAGGGCATTTTCGTGTGTATTATTCAAAAGTTCATGCTTGTTTTCAGATTCATAACTATTGCAATGCAATGCAACTCAGCTTTTCTTATAAGCTCAGAATGTGCTTATATATACTGCTGCATGTAATAAAAACGTACACATCATAAGTTATCTGCACTACGCTCTGTACATCACATGTGATGCACAGGTTTCTATTAAGTGAAACACTATATATATATATATATATATATATATATATCAGCACATTCTATTTCCCTAATAAGCTGAGTTGCCTTGCAGTAGTTATAAATCTGAAAACGGGCAAACGTCCTGTGGTCATATAGGATGCCCAAAATATTATCTTAGGCCTTTCCTCAGACGTCCTGCTCAATAGTAGACTCTTTACTTAAGCGTCCTGAGTTTGACCACTCTTTTAAAATCATGGCTCGTGTGCACTGTATATGATGAATGGACGTGGAAATCACATGACCTGTGCATCGCATATGATGCGCAAGACAGGCAAAGAGTTAAAGAACATTTGAAACATGTAAGCAGATAGTCGCGTTTGAAAATCTGTACATCTAGTAGGCAAAATTCAATTTATAGTCATTTCCTTTCCTTAACATAACACTTGCAGAGGAAATATAGGGCCAATTTGGAGAAAGAGTAAAGTCTGACAATATGCATAGTGTCCAGAAGTAACAGCTGCTGCTGATGATTCGGTAAACACCAGATATTTATATAGATTCGGTTATCGTCCGGTTCACAGTACGCCCCTATATTTTGAAAAGGGGTAAAGATTTATTCCTTGTTTCCTGTTTAGGGTTGGGTTTCCGGCTCCTTCTAAAGTCTCCACGTAAATTCTGAAACTTTTACTATTTCTTTCTTTTTTTTTTTTTCTCAACAGGAGTAGATAGAGATCGTCCGGTTCACACTCCTCCCCGGTTTTTTGAACAGGAGTCAATGTTTATCCCTTGATTTGTGAATAGGATTGAGTTTCCGGTTCCTTCTTTTCCTTCTCACTTCCAGTAACATCTTGCATCTTAGTAGCTTTATCGCATTGCTTGTGGGGAATTGATTAAAAGACTATATCAGATCACTTTACTCGTAGACCAAGAAGAATTTAACTTAAAATCATTCATGTTCGTCTAAAATCAGAACAATGTTAGTTGCATACCCCAGCTTATTTTTCAGGATACTCCAATGTTCTCTACAATCGTAATGGCATGCGAGATTGTTAACTATTGTTCAATGGTGAGGCGTTCTTATTATATTTAGCATTAATATAGTCATTGACACTCGTAGGATATAACGAAGATGCCTCTAAAAGCCAAGCAAAGTATTAAGAAACGTGAAATTTTCGTTAGAAACAAAGAAAAGAATACTGGACTGTTATGCAATATTAGTCCTCCTATATGACAGTGAATGCTGGGAAATCTCCTTATAGATGAAGAAGAGACTTGAGTCAACAGAATTAGGAACAGAAACATTAATAATGATCAGGAAGAGGAAAGAGCAATCAGTAGATAGCGATTGACACTGCATTTAAATTTTTGCAGATTAAAGTTGACTGGAAATCATGGAAGGGAGATCCACAAGTGATAAGTGCGAGAAAAGAAACATCTCGCCGGCTCAACTGTAAATCATTTGTCTACTCCTTCGCTTAAATTCATAGAATCTAGGTACCCTAGCGAAGAGCGATATTTATTTGTAATTATTTACAAAATGTGGCACAAGGCCAAAATGAGGAATGGAGAAAAGGACGGTCTTCATCTCTCTTAACTTTAAACTTAGCCAGCCACAAACACTGGCCCAAACATACCAAAATATTACACAAAAAAAAATAAAACAAAAAAAACGCATTCTTACTTACATTTCGTACTACAGTCACCATAATACCTCATTGTCTCTATGAAAGTCCTAACTCGTCTCCATATGTACAATTCATTGTCTGTGGGCGGAGGGGAATAAAACAACAATTTAAAAAAAATAAAAACTAGCCCCAATAAGAACACTAGCGAAGATCTCATCCAAACAATTACTTTAAAAATATTTATAGAAAACACACAGAGATGCAATCTTACGGCAGTGGGTAAGTGACTGAAGCCGAGCAGCCAGATCAGGACCGATAATATTGCCGATTCTTCTTTGGATTTTATCAAGGACCCCCAGGTAAATAGCAGGGGCACCGGACTATATGTGGCAGCAATATTCTGAGTATGGGCGAATAGTAGACTTATAGATATAGGTAAAAGGCGCAGGAAAAGGAGGTGGGCCATCTACCTGAAAATCTTGTGTGAACGGATGGCGAAAAGGGTCGTTGTAAGAGTGGAATACAATTTACTAAGGGTTACAAAGGTTAGGAAGTTGTAGAGATTTGACTGATTGTTTTTTACGGCTTATCAACCTATTGCAGGCTATTTACAGCCAGAAAATATTTTTTAGGTTGTAAAAATGTATTTTAGTTTGTGATAATAATGATTTAATAATCGAAGTTTTAATAATTAATCCATAGCTGGGGGGGAGTGATGGATTCATACCTTTCCAAAGTTCATTTGTACATAAGTCAATACAACGAGCCCAACTAGAATTGGAACTCGGTTCTCCGATTAACAAATCCATTACACCACCCGCACATCCAGGCTTACATCACATGTTATTCCCAAGCGGTCATCCATCTAGATACGGACCAAATTCGACGTTGATCGGACAGGAACCGGTATTTCAACGTGATGTAATCGTAATCCCGGACGTTGTAGAGTCACGTCTTGAAGGGACACGGCACATAGAAGAAGAAGAAGAAGAAGAAGAAGAAGAAGAAGAAGAAGAAGTCATTAATATGCAGATCTCGCAGGCCATTCTTTGCAACATCAGGTTTCTGTTGATACCAAAGCACAGACTTGTATGTGAAAAATATGTTTAAGTGCGTACAATCATTGTCATTCAATTTTTGTGTGTGTTTGTGTTTGTGTGTGTGTGTGTGTGTGTGTGTGTGTGCGTAAAAGAAGTGAGTGGGGTAGAGGAGCAAGCAGACGACTCGGTAAGAGGTTGGATAGAATGGGGAGGTGATGAAAAATGAACGGGATTCGCAGACAATCTGTCCGCCATTTTAGTTCGACTCAATAATGGCAGGCCGCCATATTTGCCGTCAGACGTTCCTTGCGACCTAAACCTCCTCCTCCTCCTCCTCCAAGTCCCCCGCCAATCCGCCTCCGCCAGCCCCAGAACTCTTCGACCGCATCCTCCCGGTCCGGCTCGCCAACCCACTTACAATTTGTTTTCGGCCTCTAAAGTGGTCATCGTGCAACCTAGACGTCTGCAGTGCCTAGTTGTAAAACCTCCTCTACCCGTAAAATTCAGACCCCCCTCGTGCACCACCCGTTACGAAATGCCCCACCCACCCTGACTACTACCGGCACCACCACCGCCACCATCCTTTGGCTGTCTTCAAATCTCTTCCCCTCCCCCATCACCTTCGCTGTCTCATCTCTTTTGCTTTTCACTAGATATATGTCCGTTAGACACTTCAACGACAGACAGACATATCGATTTTTTTCCTCTTCCCTTTTATCGTGATTCTTCTTTTTCCTCTTCTTCTTCTTTTTCTTCTTCTTCTTTCTCCTTCTCCTCCTCCTCCTCCTCTTCTTCTTCTTCTTCTGGAGCATTTATCTTCATCACTATCCTCTTTTCTTTCATACCTTCTCCTTCTTCCTTTATTTCACTTCATCGCTATTCTCTTTTTCCCACCATCTTCTTGTTATGGCTGTTTTTCTTCTTTATCTCCTTCTTCTTCCACTTAAGTTTTTCTCTTCATCACTATCACCTTTTTCTCGCCTTCTTCTTATTGTTGTTTTTTCTCCTTCTTCTCCTCCTCCTCCTTTTTCTCCTTCTTCTTCCTCTACTTGAGTATTTCTCTTCATCACTATCGCCTATTTTTTCGCCTTCTTCTTATTGTTGTTTTTCTTCTTTTTCTCCTTTTTCCCCTCCTTCTTCCTCTACTTGAGTATTTCTCTTCATCATAATCACCTTTTTTCTCGTCTTCTTTTTTCTTCTTTTTCTCTTTCTCCTCCTCCTTGTCCTTTTTCCCCTCCTTCTTCCTCTACTTGAGTATTTCTCTTCATCATAATCACCTTTTTTCTTGTCTTCTTTTTTTTCTTTTTCTCTTTCTCCTCCTCCTTTTTCCCCTCCTTCTTCCTCTACTTGAGTATTTCTCTTCATCATAATCACCTTTTTTCTCGTCTTCTTTTTTCTTCTTTTTCTCTTTCTCCTCCTCCTTGTCCTTTTTTCCTCCTTCTTCTTCCTCTACTTGAGTATTTCTCTTCATCATAATCACCTTTTTTCTCGTCTTCTTTTTTCTTCTTTTTCTCTTTCTCCTCCTCCTTGTCCTTTTTCCCCTCCTTCTTCCTCTACTTGAGTATTTCTCTTCATCATAATCACCTTTTTTCTTGTCTTCTTTTTTTTCTTTTTCTCTTTCTCCTCCTCCTTTTTCCCCTCCTTCTTCCTCTACTTGAGTATTTCTCTTCATCATAATCACCTTTTTTCTCGTCTTCTTTTTTCTTCTTTTTCTCTTTCTCCTCCTCCTTTTTCCCCTCCTTCTTCCTCTACTTGAGTATTTCTCTTCATCACTATCGCCTTTTTTCTCGTCTTCTTTTTTCTACTTTTTCTCCTTCTCCTCCTCCTTGTCCTTTTTCCCCTCCTTCTTCCTCTACTTGAGTATTTCTCTTCATCATAATCACCTTTTTTCTCCTCTTCTTTTTCTTCTCCTCCTCCTCCTTCTCCTTTTTCTCCTTCTTCTTCCTCTACTTGAGTATTTCTCTTCATCATAATCACCTTTTTTCTCGTCTTCTTTTTCTTCTCCTCCTCCTCCTTCTCCTTTTTCTCCTTCTTCTTCCTCTACTTGAGTATTACTCTTCATCACTATCGCCTTTTTTCTAGTCTTCTTTTTTCTACTTTTTCTCCTTCTCCTCCTCCTTGTCCTTTTTCCCCTCCTTCCTCTACTTGAGTATTTCTCTTCATCATAATCACCTTTTTTTCTCGTATTCTTTTTTCTTCTTTTTCTCCTTCTCCTCCTCCTCCTCCTTCTTTTTCTGCTTCTTCTTCCTCTACTTGAGTATTTCTCTTCATCACTATCGCTTTTTTTCTCGCCTTCTTCTTATTGTTGTTTTTCTTCTATTTCTCCTTCTCCTCCTCCTTCTTTTTCTCCTTCTTCTTCTTCTAATTGGAATTTCTCTCCGTCACTATCTCCTTTCTTTCTCACCTTCTCCTTCTTCCTCTGACTATTTCTCTTCGTCACTATCATCTTTTCTCTCACGCCTTCTACATTTGGTTGTTGTTGTTGTTGTTCTTCTTCTTCTTCTTCTTCTTCTTCCTTATTATTATTATTATTATTATCTGGCTTTCACCGATTCTTCTCATTTTTCTTATAATTCTTATTTCGCATTCAGTTATTCGTCTTTCTGCGTCTTTGTCTTTTATCTTCTTCTTGTTCATCTTCTTCTTCTTCTTCTTTATATTATTATTATTATTACTTTCACCTATTCCTTCTTTCTTTCTTTCTTTCTTTCTTTCTTTCTTTCTTTCTTAACGATTCCTTCCCTTCTCTATTTTATCCTTCATTATCCTACTTATTCCTCTTCATCTTCCTCCTGCTACTCCCATCTTTGCTTCTTGCTTGTCATCTTACCTCCCTCTTCCTCACCTTCGTCATTCCGCTTTTCCTACATTCTCTTCGTCCTTCTTTTATCGATTCTCTCTCTCTCTCCTCTCCTCTCCCTGCACCTTTTTCTGCATCTTTCGTATTCATCTTTTCCAGTCATTTTTCGCTTCCACCCTTTCCTTTTAAAAATGTTTGTCTATCTATCTATCTATCTATCTATCTATCTATCTATCTATCTATCTTCTTTTACATATATATATATATATATATATATATATATATATATATATATATATATATATATATATTCAGTATCTATCTGTCACTCTATCTTCATATATGTCTACCTATACTAGCCTGTTCTTAACTCGTTATATAAATATATATCTTTCGATCTCTCTGTCTGGCTATCAATTACCGACTGTCTCTCTCTCTCCCTCTCTCTCTCTCTCTATATATATATATATAGAGAGAGAGATAGATGTGTGTGTGTGTGTGTGTGTGTGTGTGTGTGTGTGTGGTGCACAAAATGTCGTCTAAAATAGGCAAAAAAGAAAAACTGACATCTAATTTTAACAAATATTTACCAAAATTAAACAAAAATATATAGAAATATTGAAGAGTAAATTTATTCAATATAATCGCCATTGGCTTCAATCACTACAGACGACTTTAGAATATCCTGCAACTGTTCTGGACGGTCTCCTTGTTCAAGTTGGTGAATATTGCCATAATCCTTGCCTTCACTTCATCTTCCGTTCAACTTTTACTTTTTGTTGGTCTGTCGTTCAACTGCGACTCATCCGTAATATGTCGTCATATATATATATATATATATATATATATATATATATATATATATATATATATATATATATATATATATATATATATATATATATATATATATATATATTCATTGCTATCTCCGTGTCATTGTGTCTACACACACACACGCACTATCTATCTATCTATCTATCTATCTATCTATCTATCTATCTATCTATCTATCTATCTATCTATCACCGATCTCTCTCTCTCTCTCTCTCTCTATATATATATATATATATATATATATATATATATATATATAGATAGATAGATAGATAGATAGATAGATAGATAGATATGTCCATCGTTAGCTAACACTTCATTGCTATCAACCTGTCACTGTTTTTCATATGTGTCCACCTATATCAGTCTGTTCATAACTCTTTATACAAATATATATATTTCGATCTCTCTCTTACTCCTCTCTCTCTCTCTCTCTCTCTCTATATATATATATATATATATATATATATATATATATATATATATATATATATATATCATGACTGTTTACTTTATATGTATAAAGAAATAAATATAAAGATAGATCGTTATATGTCCATCGCTAGCTACCTGTCAGTGTCTCTTCCCATATGTCTATTTATATCAGTCTGTTCATAATTCTTTATATATATATATATATATATATATATATATATATATATAGATAGATAGATAGATAGATAGATACGAACAAATGGAGTATAATTCCACTGTCCGTAACATTTAATTTAAAAGAGGGTTCAATACAAAGTAGAGCTAAATATTATTATTATTTAATCTCCGATAATAAATTTTCTATGTATATATATATATATATCGATTACCGATTCTCACCCTCTCTCTAGCCTTTCCCTTCTTTCTTTTCTTCATCTTTCTAAATATTATCATTTAATCTCCGATAATAAATTATATATATATATATTTCGCTATCGCTCTCTCACTCTCCCACGCTTTCTCTTTCTTTATTTCTCTCTCTCTCTCCCTCTCTCTCTCTCTCTCTCTCTCTCTATCTATCTATCTATCTATCATACTCTCTCTCTCTCTCTCTCTCTCTCTCTCTCTCTCTCGTCGACTCTTCATAACTATCGATCGATTCATATCTATCTCAGTTTGGTCACATCTATATACCAATTTTCCATACTTCTCAGACTCATTTTTATTTCATGTTGTTATTTTTCCGAGTTATTAAATATTTTTTCTCGTCCTTCCTTCCTTCCTTCCTTCCTTCCTCTATACGAAGCCGTTCATTTTTCTTTCCTTACCTTTACCTCCCTCTCCGTTTTTCTCCAACTCACTGTCTGGTCACCTACCATTTTATAAATCCGCCACACTCTTTCCACTAAACTTTAAGCTTTCTCCTTCTCCTTCTCCTCCTCCTCTTCCTCCTCCTCCTCCTTCTGCTACTAATACTACTGACACTCGACTGGCGTCGCCTTTGTGTCATACTGTCTACAAATCCTTACTTTCACTTTCACTTTTACTATCGAAAGACCTCTGTCCCAGCCAGATTCTGGCTAAGTTGCCAACATTTCTATTCCATACTTTGATGTCATTTGTTGCCGAGTGGTATGTTTCCCCCCCCTCTCTCTCTCTCTCTCTCTCTCTCTCTCTCTCTCTCTCTCTCTGTTCTAATGTATGCATCTTAAGTGTGTATGGGTTAATACTCAGCCAATGTTAGATCGTGCCATTGTCCTTTTGATAACATTGGTCTTTTCAAATTCTGCAGTATGTTTTAAATATATAATTTCTTCGAACCCCAAATGATCTTGACACCATTAATATATTTGTAATGCTTACGACCAACGATTTGATTTGAGCTATAATATAGAAGTAGTTTCTTCCATTTAGTATATTTTATCTAGAAGTGACTACGCAAAAATTGAATGAAATTACCTGTCACCTCATGATTTCTTACAGACATTGATTAAGCTTCGCTTTTGTCGAAATTTTTGAGATGAAGAATTGTTTATCTCTAGCAGTAGCTGTGAAATTTCTACGGTTTTCCTACCTGAATTATCGAATGAATCGTAACTCTTAATATAATAACTGAGTAAGATCGTTGCGAATTCTACGATTGTCTTCTATAGCATCGTTGAATAACAACTTTAACAAAATATTGCAATACCGATCATAAGAAATGAATGCAAGTCATTATCTTAAAAAGTGAGAAGGTACAAATAGAAAAGATTCAACATTGACACGGTTTCCCATTTGACTGATGCAGACGTTATACCAGCGTTTCCTAAACTCTTTATCTATGTGAAACGATTGAAATAGTTTTCACGTCTCAGGAAACGACTGCATAAAAAGTTATTATATACCATTACTAATATCTACTCCTTTTATATTTTTATCATAGTTCACGTGGTAAACATTATGTATAAACATCGTCCTGTACTCGAGTGAGTCACTCAATGATACACGAATCCGACACGTACAGGTCCTGTCCACTAACCAGTGAAGGCAGTTTCACACTGATACCATATAGGAATCTCTAAATACATTCCCTATGATTATTATAATTCAAATAATATAAAATTTGAAGCCTTTATTATAATAAGCAAGGATTTTCCAACAATATGCCGTACGCGTATAGTAAAATTACAAATATAAGATTAAACAAAAATTATTCAGAAATAAATTAGCGTATGTGATATAATGGAATATACGTACACCTGTGTTCCCCCTCACTGGAATATGATTGGCTGGTGTCCGTCATAAATACCGACGGACGTGTAGGAGAGTGAGAGCCTTAGTCTGAGAGCTAAGTCTATAACGAAGCCCATTGGACTACGCTATTGAGCTACACTGCTTACCTGCGACTATGACGCGTACCAGTCGATTACTGCTACCGTATTCTACTTGGTTATAGTAGCCAAAACCACTTAGCTACTTCGATTAAATATATCCCTTTCCGGGACATATCACTATGTTTCTTGCAGAACCCCTAGCGACATCTTGCGGAACCCTATAGTTCCGGTAAACGCCGGTTGAAAAATACTGCGTTATATGCATGAGGGAGTTATCGCCGCTTTCTTTCTTTCTTTCTTTCTTTTGTTTGTTGCTTTTTCCTTTTCGTTAAAACCGATCTACGCTTCTGATATATATTTTTCTTTCCACACAATCAAAAACAGAATGTTTCTTTATTTATCTGAGGCAATGGCCTGGCATAACGCACGTGCTATCTTTCCGGGAACTAGCAGAATTATAATATAATAAACATTGCCGACGCATGAATGTAGTTAAAATAATAACGCTGTCAAAAAAAAAACAAAAAACAAAACAAAAAAAAACGTCTTTTTGACATTTTTTTTTGTTTGTTTATTGTTTTTTTGTGGACACGAACTTTACATTGGTTCGTTCTCTTTCAACAACGCCTACAATATTATATCCTCAAAATAAAATTCGGTGTTGACTTTTTCCTCTCTGTTTGCACGATAACTTCAGAGATTATGGTGCTGAAGTTATGGCGCTTAACTCATCAACTTAAGAATTCTTCGGAACACCAAAGACTTCATTTTTTGATACGGGACCATTTAAAAACATTTTTAATGGCACTTAAAACAAAATCCGTATATTTTGATTGAATTAAAGACAACAAAAGTAATATTTAAAATATTAAATTCGAAGGAAGAAGCTTTGCTATTTGGAACCAACATATTTATGTTGGTTGTTATACTCACAGCATTTTAGCCGTTAAAACATCCGGTCTACTCCAAGTGTTTGCCTTCCTACTCGTCTGATTCTGTACTTTTTCTTCTATATGATGTCTCCCCCTCGGGTCGTTGGCGATCGTAGCTCGCCAAAATTCCCTGTCCTTTGTAGCTTATAATAAATTTTATCTTTTGTCCTGACATTTATTTATAGAAAGTCGCTAGGTAGGTAATGCGTTGTTTTTCCCTTTCTCTCTTTTGCCTTCAGTATGTTATGTGAGTATCAGATTTTCCAAGCCCTCTCTTCTCATTATATGACTTAGAAATTTCAACTGTCTCTTTCTGGTGTTAAGTATAAGTGATATATATATATGTATATCATACTTATTATAAAACCCAGGTTGTGTGTGTGTCTGTACGTTTATATATTGGATCGGATTTTCTACATTTTTCAACCGATTTCAACAAAACTTCACAGGACTACGTAAAATTACCTTGCGGTGGTTCTAACAGCGCCAAAAATTGGAAAAAACACAATTGTTTTTGCACGAAATCAATTTGAAAACACGATTAAGAGGCATCGCGAGAATGAAAGGGGGACAACTCATATCGAGTTATACTTATTATAAAAACCTAGGTTGTTTGTGTGTGTGTGTGTGTGTTCGTTTATATATGGGATCGGATTTTCTTTTTTCGACCGATTTCAACAAGACTTCACTTTTTTTTCGCAGGTAGTGTTTCTTGTTGTCTTGCACACTTTTTTCTTTATTTTTACATTCAGAATGCTTTAAAAATTCCATTTACAAGACAATTGTTTATAATAAAATTCTATTCAATCGGTAGAGACTCATAACGATTGAAAACAATGTTTTTGTTTGAGTTTGGGTTTGACCAATTCGTAAAAAAATAAAAAAAAACAAAAAAATCTAATTAAGACATGCGTGTCCGTCAACCTTAAACAATAATCTTTGTCAATTTTATTTTTCAGTCTTTATGATGGTCGATACTTGATCTATCTCTTACTGTTACATCCCAGGCAACGCCGGGCTCTACTGCTAGTATATATATATATATATATATATATATATATATATATATATATATATATATATAGCATTTCACCAAGCAAGACAGGGAGTGCCACTAGTACGCAAGGACCTACAGAAGATGAAAGTAAGGGAAAAAGACCAGGTGTTGGAGGTGGGGACTGAGTAAAGGATAAAAAGAAGAATGGGGATCAAAGCAACAGAAGATGTCGATTGACGTTACGTTTAAATTTTTGAAGATTATAGTAATCAGGAAAGCAACTAATAGGAAGGGAATTCCACTGTCGGGAAGTGCGAGAGAAGAAGCTGTTGGAGTAGAAGAGGCGGTGTCCCTTCAGGACGTAGGCGATCGTGATTCTCCACAATTTCTTCTCCTTTGTAACTCTTTGTAAACTTTATCATTATCTTATTTCTCGTAAACCTTGTTCCGCCATCCATTTACTCAAGCTCGCTAGGAATGCTATGCGTTATTTTCCTTTGCCCCTCTTGCCTTCAGTTTGTTCTGTGAGTATCAAATTTTCCAAGCCCTCTTTCCTCATTATGTTCCCTAGAAATTTCAACTGTCTCTTTCTAATTATAAGCATAATTGTCCTTTTTGTTTGCATGTCCATGACACAATAGTCGAGTGGATTAAATCATTAGTTAATGTTGTCACGGAAATTGCAAGTTCAATTTCAATTTCAGTGGAAATTAAATTTGGCTAAATCCTGTATAAGATTCAGTATCCTAACGAAGAGTCTTCAAGTGTAGCTTTGTAACCATTGGTAATGATAATGGTATTATTTGCCGTTTCCCTACAAGGAAACATTCGGCATTGATTGACCGATCAACCAGTACTGTTTTCGGTTGAAATTCATAAAATCTTTCTCTTAAAATAATTTCCCAGGAAAACAGGTCCAGTAGATGTTATAGCTCTTTCTAGTAATCGTCCTAACCTTCTAGTTGAAGCGGTGAGGAATGTCAACATCTTGATTATTTTATTATTTCCTCTTATAGTTACATCAGCTATACATTTTAGTTGTTGCCGCTGTTGTAAGTTCTCAATTGATTTAGTTTCCGCTATCTGGCACAGTTTTTGTGATTCTGTAGCGCCAGTCCACAATGTTTAAAGGTGTATGATCTTTGCCAAGACCTTCAGATTTCATTCGCTCAAAGTCTTTTTCACCATTGATCTTAGGAAGCTGTTGTATACAGCTGACAGTTTAGATATTTCTGAACGGGTTTAACGCCATGCATGCCATCCATATGAAAGCCTCGATCTGACGAGGCTATTTCAGAACATGACTCGATTTTTCATGTTGATGTTTTGGTTTCGTAGCAATTTGAGGTATTGGGCGAAAGTACCTCTGGCGCAGCCTATTCTGTGTTCAATTTCCTTTTCTCCATTACTTAATTGATCCATACGCCGAGGTATATGAAGTGTTTAGCATTTACTAATTCTACATCCTGAGTAGAATAATAATAGGATTATATGCCTTGTTATTCGGACCCGTATGCTAATCTTGATTGTGATATTCACAAAATTACAGTCGATATACTCTCTGGCTTTTTACGTACTCGGTAACCTTCCAATTTCTAACTGAACACTTTATTCACTCCATGGGGACAGATTGTTCTCATTCATCAAACCTTGCAATATTTTATACAGGGCGTCCATAAAGTTCGTGTGCACTTTAAAAAAATTATAACTTTATTTGTATTTGCGATAGAAATAATCTGTAAAAAATGTTACAAAGTTTAATGTACCTAGTTTTAAGTATAGCTAAAATAACTAATGTGATTTCAGGCATTACTGTAAATGAGTTGGCAAATATTTTCCGTGAATTGCAAAATCGTATTACCCTTTGTATTGCTAATGATGGGCGACATGTGAAAACTTAAATAAAATTTCAATAAAACCTTAAAAAATATAGATTTACTTATTTCTAATCCTTTTTACAAATTATTTCTATCGCAAATACAAATAAAGTTATACATTTTTAAAGTGCACATGAACTTTATGGACACCCTGTATATAAAATAAAATATGTGTTGAATTGTTATTTTCCTTCTCAGTCTGCGCCTTAATTTGAATTAGATGAGAAATGGAAAGGTTCGTGTAAAATTATGAACTTAGGAATTCTTCAGAATAAGCAGCGAAGCCTTCATTTTTTGATGCAGAACTATTTTGAGATGTTTAACCATGCTTAAAATATGTTTAATAGATTTTAACTGAATTAAAAACAACAGAAGCAATATTTGGGGCTGAGATAAAATTCAACGGAAAGATGACGTAAACATTACGTTTAGCTATTCCGACCAACATTGCTTGATATAGACTGGTGTTTTGTTTTGTTTTGTTTTGTTTTTTTGTCGTGTTTTCTTTATGTCTTTCGTTACTTGGGATCCAGACATAACAGGTTCATAGGAAATCTTTTTTCCTTCTTTCTTTCTTTCTTTAAATAAATTTTGTTTTTTCTTTCTCTCGTCTTATTTCCTTTCTTTTTTCCTTTCTTCATTTAGGACACACATAACGAGTTCACAGAAATTTTGTTCTTATTGTTGTTTATTCTTTCTTTTTTCTTCCTTCCTTTCTTTCTTTTTCCTTTTTGCTTTCTTTCTTCATTTGGGACACACATAATGAATTCATAGAAATTTTGTTCTTGCGGTTTTTTCTTTCTTTCTTTTTTCTTTTCTTTCTTTCTTTGTTCATTTGGGAGATGCATAACGAGTTCACGAAATTTCTTTCTTTTTCTCACTTTCTTTTTTCTTTCTTTCTTCAGTTCTTTCCTTTTCTTTCTTTCTCCCTTTCTATACTTGGGACACACAACGAGTTCATAGAAATGTTGAACTTATTGTTATTTCTTTTCTCTCTTGCTTTTTCCCTTCTTTCTTGCTTTCTTTCTTTCTCCTTCTTTCTTTCTTTACTTGGGACACATAACGAGTTCATAGAAATGTTGTCCTTTCTTACTTCCTTTTTTCTTTCATTCTTTCTTTACTTGGAACCCCGACATTTTGTTTCTTCCTTTTTCTTTCTTATGTTTTTTTTTTTTAAATATAATTTTACCCTTTTCTTTACATCTTCATTCTTTCTTCCTTCATTTTTCTTCCTTTCTTTCTTTTTTTCTCTTTCTTTACTGGAAACATAAACATAACAGGTTAATACAATTCTTGTTTCTTAGCAGTTTTCTTTCCCTTCCGCTTCGTTGGAAGGCAGAAGAACGTAAATTTGGCGTGGGTTGTTCTCTATACGTCTCTCCAAATCAGTCGCGACAGCCGAGTGTGTCAAATGTTCGCAGTACGTGTTCACTCTTTAAAATGTGTAGATTTTATGTTGTATACCTTTTCATTGTGACTCAGAAATACATCTTGGATATTCTACGCAAACTAACCAAGATGGGTTTTGTTGTGAGCATAACAACCAAGATAAGCTTGCCATTCCATATATACAGGCATATAATAATAATAATAATAATAATAATAAAGGTTCCGATAGACTCACTGAAGAGATTCCCGGTAGACCATGTCTTAAAGAAATACAAAATATTATACTCACAAGTACAGCTCACAAATTACGAAGAGCTTTAAAATGTGTGTTGGTGTTATTTTTATTTATTTATTTTTTATCATTGCTGTTTTACAAAAATGATCAGTGGAATATGAAGTCATTTCTGACCTTAGGTCTCTGGTTGGGACCCTGAATCAAATTTGCGTACAACAGAAATCAAAGGAAATAATAATAATAATAATAATAATAATAATAATAATAATAATAATAATTCCATGCCTCAAAGAGATACAAAAAATTGTTCTGACAAGTTCAGCCCATACTTTACGAAGGATTTTATCTATGTATATTTTTTTTCAGTGGAAATTGTCATAATGCCATTTCTAACCTTAGGTCCCTTGGCGGGACCCGGAAAGAAATGTGTAAATGCCAGAAATCAAAGAACATAATAATAATAATAATAATAATAATAATAATAATTGTCCTAAAGCTACAATAGGCATGGCTCTCATGGCTTCTAAGCTTTATTGATTAAGGGTGTCAACATGTAGATATTTTGTCTTGTTGAAATAAATAAATATTCCGTTCAGTACACCAGATTTGCTTGTCAGTTTCTTGACCATAACCAGTTGGACACTGAGACAATCTACACCTCTCTTCATCAGTAGTAGTACAATGGCCGAGTGCCGAGTGTATTCTTTTAAGTACGATGGATGAGGTGTCCAGAACAACTTGGGAGTCATGCCTAGATACTTTGGAACATCCTCAATCGGAGTCTGACCGAACGGAGCTGATTGGGTTACCCGGCCTAAAGTTATTTCTAAGCCCCATTTGTTAAGGTCTCTTCTTGGGAATTGAAACTCGGTTAACCGATTAACAATTACGAAATATTATTTTTGCTTTTTTAAAATTCTTTTATCATACCAATAATAATAATAAGGACTTTACAATACGCACAGAACAATCAAAGCTAATCGCCCCTGACATCGTGATCAGGGACCACAAAGACAAAATGTGCCTTCTTATTGACATAGCCGTCCCTGGAGACTGCAATGTATCTTTGAAGATTTTCAAAAAAACTATCAAAATACAAGGACCTTGAAATCGACATCTCAAAAATGTGGCACATGAGGACATTAACAATTCCAATTGTAGTTGGAGCCCTTCGGATTGATTGGAAAAGACTCTAATGGACGCATTGACGGAATCCCTGGTAGCCCATACCTAAAAAAAAAATTGTACTCACAAGTACAGCCCACACCTTACGAAGTGCTTTATCTATGTAAAATATGGGCGATATTTTTTTCAAAACTGCTCAGTGGAAAATGTCATGATGCCATTTCTGACCTTAGGTCTCTGAAAGGCCTCTTCCTACCTTCCATCAGTATGGCTGATGCTAACCTCCAGAAGAGTGACTCCTTGCGCTTTCTCAGACTAATATTCTCAGCTGACATGAAGTGTAAAGATTATATTGAATCTATCGCTTGGTCATCTGCTAAGAAAGTTGGTTCGCTATGTCATGCTAGATATTTTTTCTCTTCCGAATCTAGCTTACATATTTATTTTGGAACATTCATGCCACATATGGTCTGGTGATCCTGTTGTATATCTAGAGATTCTTGATAAAATCCAAAGAAGAATCAGCAATATTATTGGTCCTGACCTGGCGTCTCGGCTTCAGTCACTTTCTCATCGTCGTAATGTATTTTCCCTGTGTCTTTTCTATAAATACTTTTATGGTAATTGTTTGGATGAACGTTTCGCTATGTTAATTAAACTTTATGAATTTAAACGCAGTACTAGATTGGCATGTAGGTCTCATCAATTTACAGTTGAATTGGCCAGATGTAACCGTAAGTTCTATGCTGACAGTTTCTTTTTTTGCACTTCTCGATTTTCAGCTCCATTCTTTCCAGCCAAGTTTGATCTTCGAAAATTTAAAAGCAGTGTCAATCGTTATCTACTGTCTTCTTGATTCCTCTTCTTTTTATTGTTCTTACTCCTTAAAAACGTTTCTCTTCTTTCTTATTCTTTCACACTCATTAACACCTTGTGTCTTAGTGCCTTTGTTGCCTTGCCATGGGGGTGAAATTATTACAAAAAGAAAAGAAAAGAAATTACACTTCCAATTCAAAAACGAAATCCTGAGCCTTTTCACCACTTTTGGAGGAACCGCTCCCTGGTTGACTTTCACTACTTCCTGTGACTAGCCATACTAGACCATGTACAGCCGAGGTATCGGTTTAGATTATCACGCCATCTTGTCATTGGCTGCCTTCTAGGTCTTTTCCACCGGCTTGGCGTTCACTCTTTCATTCTAATAGTCCACCTGTTGTCTCTCGGATGATAGACGCGACCAGCTCTTCTATGTTCTACACTTCTTGTCTTGTTATCTACTGTCTTTTTGATTCCTCTTCTTTTTATTGTTCTCGCTCCTTACTAATGCTTCTGTTTTTTGGGGTTTTTTTCTTATTCTTTCACAATCATTAAATCCTTGTGTCTTATTGGCTTTGATGCCTTGCCATCGGGTGAAATTATTTAAAAAAAAAAGAAATTACACTTCCAAATCAAAATCGAAATCCTGAGCCTTTTCACCACTGTTGGAGGAACCACTCCCTGGTTGACTTTCACTACTTTCTGTTACTGGCTATACTGGACCATATGAAGCCGAGCACGACATCTTGCCATTGGCCGCCCTCTAGGTCTTCTCCAGCGCTTCTTTCATTCTAATAGTCCACCTGTTGTCTCTAGGATGATAGACGTGACCAGACCATTTATGTTCTACTCTTCTTGTCTCGTTATCTACTGTCTTCTTGATTCCTCTTCTTTTTATTGTTCTCGCTCCTTACTAACGTTTCTCTTTTTTCTTATTATTTCACACTCAGTAAGCACTTGTGCCTTAGTGGCTTTACTCTCTTGCATGGGAGTGATATGATTAAAAGAAAAAAAGAAAGAAAGAAAGAAAGAAAGAAGAAGAAGAAGAAGAAGAAGAAGATGAAGAAGAATGCACTCCACTCAGGCAGATGTTGACCGTCTGTATTTGCCAAGGTGCCGTGGCTGCAGGATTTTGATTCAACTGGAATTGTCATGCAAAATTTCAACAATGAGACTTTATACGAATCTTGCAGCTATATAAGAAAGGGTAAAAAAGTAAAACGCTTTTTACTGGATGAGAAAATTATAAATATGCAAGAGAATTCGGACTGAATCTTGAATGTAGCGCTGAAGTAAATAAAACTATCACAAAACCAGCAAGAAAACTGAAACGAAAAGCGAAAATTGGACAAATGACGTATACCGGAGCGAGAAGGTTCTACATAACCAGTTCCTTCTCTGAATGCTCATAGAAATCAATACACAAACCACCGGTGTCTTAAGAAGTACAGGACTTAAGGGTGAGGCTGGAGGATTTATTCTTGTTGCTCAGGACCAGAGCCTTCTTACACACAACTACCAAGTGAATATCTTGCATAAAAGTACGGATCCAAAATGTAGATTCTGTGACGAATACATTGAGACTATTAATCACCTTATCTCAAAGATGCTCAATATTCACACCCAATAAGTACAAAAACCGTCATGTCCGAGTAGGTCAGTATCTGTATTGGAAGATCTGTCATCACAATTTGATAAAAACAACTGCAAACAGACATGAACATCATTCTGAATCTGTTGTTCAGGGTTTTGGTGTGGTTTTATTTGTTTTACGGCATATCAACACCTCAATGGGTCATTTAATGCCGACAAAATTTTTATTGCTGGTAATATTTTGTTTTGTCAAAAATCTATTTCTGGTAATATTTTTCCTTCAAAAATCTATACCTGGTAATATTTATCCTTAAAAAAAATTGTTGGTAATATTTTTTCAAAAATGTATTGCTTTTTTTTTCTTCAAAAATTTATTGCTGGTAGCTCATAAATATGAAAGAAAAATTCATGTTACACCTTGAAAATATCGCTCAAGTAGATACAACAGCCACAAAATCTGTAAGAAAACCCAAAACAAGAAGCGAAAAGATTTGGCCAAAAGCAAATAGAAGAAATCTCAAGTCTAAAGTCGCCACATAGCCAGTTCTTTGCCAAGGCAAAAATGTTGATGTTCATCAATTCGCAACCCCCATAATGGCTAATGATTTCAGGACTAAAGGCTTTATTCTTGCTGCACAGAACTAGAACCTACTTACACACAACTACCAAGCGAATATCTTGCATAAATTACAGACCCAAAATGTAGATTCTGTGACCAATGCATTAAGACAATCGATCACCTTATCTCATAGATGCTCAATATTCACACCCAATGAGTACAAACTGTCATGACAGGGTAGGTCAGTATCTGTATTGAAAGATCTACCATCTTTTTTTGTTAATAGGTGTCTTATGTTTAATTAAGTGGAAGCAACAAAAAATCATATCCTTCTGAGGCATTGATTATTATGTAATTATAAAAGAGGTACAGGTCAAAAATATTTTTTTTAAAATAATAATAATTCCTCAGAAAAAAAAAGTCCAACATTGAACAAGTACACAGAATGGAAAGAAACGTAAGACAAAGACGCATCTTTTCACCAGCAAAGTGATCCTAAGCGAACTAGGAGTCCTATCAGGATTTTTTATTGGTGAAAACAATCTTAACAATGTAAAATATGCAGATGATACGGTGTTGATGGCATACACAGAAAGAAAACTGCAGAAACTCCGACACAGGGTAGTAAGGGTAAGCTAAAAGAAAGGACTAAACATCAACTGTAAGAAGAG